TTACTCCTGTGAAGTATGGTCTTTTGTAAACGGCGGCTCTAAATCTCGCCTGAGGAGGCATAGGCTAATACTTCTCGCAGATAACGCAGTTTATCCACATTTTTTTGTCTGAGATGTATAGCTTCTTTTCGTTTCCACTCGATTCCATTTACCGCGCATTTAAAGTGTTGCAATACCACTACTTATCACCGTTTTTGATGTCATGGCTACTTTTAAAACCTAAATATCTCCACGCTTTTAGTGCATAATCATAATACGAGTCACCTTTTTTTCAAACGAGTACAAACAACCATATATACGGGCATGTTTTCTGTAAAATATGTTTGTATTTATACAGCAATCGACAATAAATAGAACAAAGCCATACAGATGAAATATTAAGAAAGTCAAGTTAGGAGAACGAACGTTTTCGATTAATTCATCATCAGGCAATACAGTAATATAAGGGAGGGTAGAGTTAACGAAAGATTTAGGCAAACCAATTAGTGGTAACAGGGGGGAGAGAGGTGTAAAGGGAACAAGGGGATCACATTCTAGTCTTAATTGGGGACCAGATAAATGGGGGTGGTGAAGGAGGGGAAGGGGAAGGAGTCAGACAATTAGTTAATGGGACGACGTGTTATTACTGATTGGTTTGCCTTAAACTTTCGTTAACTCTACCCTCCACTTATATAATGAATTAATCGAAAACGTTCGTTTGCCTAGCTTGAATTAGTTAATGCTCAACGTAAACAAATCAAATAGTCAATTTTTTTCCAGCTGTGCTTTGTGCAGGCCACTCAAAAGAATTACATTCAAAAAGCCAACATCAGGATTATACCGCAAGATGCTTAATAATAACAACACTCCTTAAGTAACACTTCCTACTAGACAACGCATTTTAGAATTTCGACAAAAATTTTTGGAGATCGGTCACCGACTACTCATACCAGGCTTTTCGATCTTGTTGCCACTAAACTTAATTACATGCAACATTGAAGTCTCTCCTCGCCTAAACTCCATCGGTTGTATTCATATACGCATAAACAACAGTCGAAAGTGACTGAACCAAATGACTTAATAGAACAGCTCTGCCGGTGAGTGTTACGAGCCTGCTGTTCCCATCCCATTGCTTGTTGGCGACAGCCTGAACGCTACATAACAGTTACATTGCATCACGTTCTCAGCTCAGCTGAAAGGTAATGCTAAATCATTTCGTAGCCTTACAATTGTGAGACAGTTATCTTCTGACTATTAGTATTACCTGATGTGTAGTGCAAACTGAAGTCCTATTTTTCTCTTTCTACCTTATGTAAAAAAAACGGATCAATTTGTACCGGTTGTTCCGAATTTTAACAATGAAGCAAGGGCTCTTCTAGTTGTGGGACAGACTTCAGATTCCTGCCCCAATGAACACTCTAACTAACAGTTATTTAATTTACTTTCCAAACTTACTAAAGAAGAAGGGGGAGGGAATTCACTGATGTATTTTTCTTGACATGCAGGAATATGACTTTTCATTTTTTATACGCAAGTACTATGAAGGCAGATGCCTGAGTTTTATGGTTCTTGTTGGCATCCAAGATGTGCTTAGATATTCTAAAGCGTGACTTTTGCGGGGAGGATTCGGAACTCGATTAACAAGATAACCGGTGTACTCAACGTGGTTAATATCACACGGGCTGCTGAAAAATGCACGGAAATTGCTGTCTCTGAGCAAAAAAAGGGAATTGGTAAGCCTATGACTCGGTCCGATGGAGGGTTGGTTTCCCGCAATTAAGTTAGACGAATTGTTTAACCTTCTTCCCCCTCAGCATAGTAGCCTACTGTTTTAAGATGGTGCTGTACGTTGCATGAAGTCTTCATGCCTCTGATGACGGAGTCGAATTCTTCTTCCAACGGTCGGGTGTCTTTCTTCAAGGCTGCTTCCGCGAACTCATCCCTTGGCTTCTATTGGTGAATGCATCAATTCATACAGCCCCAATGGCCTCATATATAAAAATATAGGCCGCCATACACTGCAGAAAAAAGCACGGGGCCGGAATGGCCTTTTTGTTTTATTAGCCATCCTGGTCGAAACCGGTAAGGTAGCATGCCTGTAGCGACCCCCTTTCTTATTCATGCTTTCCTCGGACGCCGCGCGGACTAG